GGATTTCTTCTAGACGATCCAGCATGCGTTTTACGATCTCCGGCTTTGTGTCCGACAGATCACATAACTCCAGCGGGTCTCTCTTCATGTCATAAAGCCACACGTTCTTATCCAAGGGGACATTTTCTATTGCAGGGTCCAGACCAATTATAGGGATAAAGAGGGGGACGCCGTCTTCATAACCCAGAATAGCGGCTGGAATAAAAAAGTAGAAGCATTTTTGAGGAAGTATATTTTATGTGGCCATAAAAAAATGAAGAAATAACAAATAGTTTTATATCCCGAGCAATATAGTGCCAGCGAAATTGTTACAGCCATACGACGATCCGAGTTAGTTAGTTCATTTTTCTGTACGCAAACGGTTGAATATTACACAATTTTAACTGACGAGTTTTTTTCTCTCTCCCTCTTTCGGTACCTGCTTGTCCTGTAATCAGTTTCCACTCCCCCCACCTAAGTGCTGCCCTCTGGGAGGTGTCAAATGTACCATTATAAAGAGGGGAGCCTCGGGGAACTAATCGGGATGACGTGGAGGGCCAGATAAGCTCGTGTAAGAGTTCTTTTCTCTGTTGTCCGCCATGCCCACCCGTGCTGCAAAAAGGTGATCGTAAAAAAAATCAAATATTATTCCCTTTCTTTAAAATATCCTGCTATCACCAAGGTTTTTCATTGGTGTGTGTGTGTGTGGGGGGGGGGGTCCAAAAGATACATTTCTAATCCTTTAATTTTGAAATAATATCTTACTTATTATAAATTTAATATAAAGTCGTAAACGAGAGGATTTTTACCGGAAGGCATAAAACACAAATTACTGGAAGGCATAAAACACAATTTTTCACAAGAGAGGGGAAAGGTACCAGTCGTTGCATACCTTATCAGCTTCCAAATATCAAAACCATCCAGTTTCAGCTGAGAGATATCAAGGCCGGCTAAGCCAAGAAATGTCGGATACCAATCCGTGATTGAAATTAACTGAGTCACCTTGCGTCGAGGTCTCCTCAGCAGTTTGGACCACACGAATGCCGGCACTTTTATCCCGCCTTCCCACAAAGAACCCTTGATCCCTTTCAGTGGTGCGTTATTCCCACCAACAACAGGGGCTCCGCCGTTATCTGAAATTAAACATCCATTTACAGGCCCCACGCAGGTTCACATACACACACACACACACACACACACACACACACAAAAAAAAAAAAGCTTAAGTCAGTTCCGTGGCTTAGTTGACTAGGATTTCCAAGAGAGTGCTGGTATACTGCTCCTGATGGGGCAAGATGTGCCCGGGTGACCGTGTAACTTTGGAAATCAAGTTCTTAGCCAGGAAACCTGAATTAAGTTTTTTTTTTTTTTTTTTTTTTTTGTGAAACCGGGGCCCACTTTGTAGACGAGACACAAGATGTAAACACACGTACATACATGTCTCGTCTGCTGAGTGATTTGTTGCAGAAACCCAATGTTCTGAGGCTGGAGAAACCATCTTTGAGCCCTGATAATAAACCTACATGCCACCCGTGGCATGAATTGACCAGAAGTGAAACTAACTCCAAATAGTCCGGACCAATTCCGCCAAGCTTTTGAGGAAACATGAGACAATATCCCACAAAACAGAATTAATTGTTATCCTTGTTGAAGGCAGCAACGCCGTCTACATGAGGTAATTACAGTATACGGTAAACACACATGCTAATAAACAATTGACCTTAAACGAGCACACCCTAATGCTAAATTTGAGTAAATTTGGTGACATTTGGTGGTGTCTTTTCAATTTAATGGGCATTTCTTTTACCTCTGTGGAAATGACAGTGGACTATCGGATTTGAGCTGGTACATGTAATAAATGACATCATAGTCGACAATCGACAGTCGACAACATAAATATTGATATCTCTAGTTTGTATTTTCTGTACCACTAATCATGTTAGTTATGGTATCTGGAATGAAAATCACCATTCATAGCAATTAACTCCGGTGATGTGATCATTTATAAATAAAAGCATATGGAATTGGGGGTGGGACAACCTTTTTGACCAATGACATACCAGAAACAACATCACAATTGGCACATGGAACGTAAGAACATTGCAGGCGACAGGAAAGGTGGAACAACTCACACATAAGATGGAAAGGTATCGCTGTAACATTCTTGGACTATGCAAAGTACGATATAAGAATTTTGGCGAAACTTCAACACAAGAGGGCCACAAATTGTACTTCAGCGGACGTGAAGACAAACATCTGCAGGGCGTTGTGTTTCTTGTTCATAAAGACATCAAGAGCACTGTGATGGGCTGCAGGCCTATATCCGGCAGACTCATTTCTATCCGTTTGAATGCAACCCCGTTCAACATCACCATTGTTCAGGCTTATGCCCCAACGTCCGACTATGATGTCCGACTAAGTCTTGGACCAGACCCCAAAGAAGGACATTGTCGTTTTGCAGGGGGATTGGAATGCCAGAGTAGGTGAGGATGCTTGTGAGAACTGGAAGGGTGTCTGTGGCAAGTACTGCAATCCCTCTTCGAATGAAAGAGGCCTCAGGCTCTTGGAATTTGCCTGCTACAACGACCTCGTTCTAACTAATACATTTGGCCAACATAAGGCATCCAAAAGATGGACTTGGCACCACCAAAACAGGCAACACCTCACTCAGATTGACTACATCATGGTGAAAAGGCGCTTTCAATCCAGTGTAAGCAGTGCCAAGACACGGACGTACCAAGGAGCCGACATTGGAAGCGACCATGACCTTGTGTTGATGACTTTTCGCCTCCACCTGAAAAAAGTCAACAAGCAAGGTTACATTAGGATGAAGTTTGACCTCGAAAAATTGAAAGATCAAAATGTGGCAGAAGCCTTCCAAGCGACGATAGGAGGAGAAGTTTACAGCACTTGCTTTGATTGATGCTGACAGCGACTCAGACATGGACACGTTGACCAACGACTTCAACACTGCAGTGACTGAAAATGCCTATGAGATCCTTGGCAAGCACCGTCCCATCAAGAAACCCTGGGTCACAGCTGAAGTTCTAGAGCGATGTGACAAGAGGAGAGAACTGAAAAAGAGAAGAAACAAGACAGAAGGCGCAAAGCAATATAAAGCTGTAAACAGAGAGATCAAAGACAGTGTGAAGACAGCAAAAGAAATCTGGATTGGTGAGCAATACCAAGTCACTGAAGACAGTCTGAAAAGGAACAACAGCAAGCAGGCATATCAGCTTGTAAAAGACCTCACAAGCACCAAACAAGGGAGAAGTACAACCATCCAGGACAGCAGGGGAACTGTTTAACAGAAGAACATGACAAGCTGAGGAGATGGACAGAATTCTGCAAAGAGTTATACAACCACAGTACTATAGGAGATCCAGATGTACTGAATGTCCCTCCCTGATCCAACACCGAGAGTGACCCCATCCTTCGAGAAGAAGTAGTAGTAGCAGCAGTTATTAAAGCGCTGAAGAAAGGGAAGTCTGCTAGAGTGTACAATGTCCCAGGGGAGCTAGTACAAGCAGGAGGAGAAGCCGTGATTGATGCCCTCACCACAATTTGCAAAAAAATCTGGCAGACAGGAGAGTGGCCTACAGCATGGACCCAATCTCTGGTCATAACCCTCCCCAAGAAAGGCAACCTACAGCAATGCCAGAACTATCGCAGCCTCAGCCTGATATGCCACGCAAGCAAAGTGATGTTGAGGATCATACTAAACATACTGAAGCCACAAGCGGAGAACATCATCACAGAAGAACAGGCTGGCTTCAGGACTGGACGAAGCACAACAGAGCAGATCTTCAACCTCAGAATACTGTGTGAGAAATATCTCCAACACCAGCAAGACCTCTGCCACGTCTTTGTGGATTTCAAAAAAGCATTTGACAGAGTCTGGCACGCAGCCCTCTGGGCAACCATGAGACTGTACAACATCAATGCCAACTTGATCAAGGCTATAGAGAGCCTGTATAATAAGGCCAGCAGTGCAGTCTTCCTGAATGGCAGTATAGGGGAATGGTTTAGGACAGCAGTAGGAGTCAGACAAGGATGTTTGCTTTCAACCACCCTCTTCAACATCTTCCTTGAGAGAATCATGACAGACGCACTGGAACATCATGACGGAACTGTCAGCATTGGAGGCAGGACAATCACTAACCTGCGGTTTGCCGATGACATTGACGGACTAGCCGGGGAAGAACAGGAACTGGCGGACTCCGTAGCAAACCTAGACAAGACATCAGCAGCATTTGGTATGGAGTTCAGTGCAGAGAAGACCAAACTGATGACAAACAGCAGTAATGACATCAGCACTGACATCAGAGTGAGAGGAGAGAAACTTGAAGTGGTCAATAAGTTCAAGTATCTTGGGTAAGTCGTATCAGATGAAGGATCAAAACCAGAAATCCTGACAAGGATAGCGCAAACAACAGCAGCGATGAGCAAACTGAAGACCATCTGGAATGACAGGAGCATTACACTCAACTCAAAAATCAGACTAATGCGCGCCCTGGTGATCTCCATATTCCTGTATGCATGCGAGTCATGGACACTGACAGCTGAGCTGGAAAAGAAGATAAAAGCTACAGAGATGAGATGCTTCAGAAAGATCCTTGGAATCACGTACAGAGACCACATCACCAATGAAGAGGTACAGAACAGAATCAAGCAAGCCATTGGTCCATATGAAGATCTTTTGTCCATTGTGAAAAAACGGAAACTGAAGTGGTACGGCCATGTTTCACGATCATCAGGACTCACCAAGACAATCCTGCAAGGCACAGTGCAAGGAGGCAGAAGGAGAGGCAGACAGAGGATAAGATGGGAAGATAACATCCGCGAGTGGACAGGCTTGCCACTCAATGAGGCTATGAGAAGGGCGGATGATCGAGATGGATGGAGAGCGCCGGTTGCCAGTTCGTCTGTTGTGCCCCTACGGTCGTCAGACTATGGGACAAATAGATAGATAGATAGATATATAGATTGCTTACTGTAGCGACAACTCGGAATATTCACAACTATGCGTACATACCAGAAGAGAAAACGATCACTGTGTTGTCCAACATGTCATTGTCTTCTAGTGCCTGGTGGATATTTGCAACTGCTGCATCCAAAGCAGACACCATTGCTGTTGAAATAATAAAGGATTATGAAGTGTGCGGAGAGATCATTTAATTTCTTTAACCAGAAATAAAACAAAATTTGTTGAATTAAATCCGATTTGCAAAAACAATCAAATATGGAATTCACCAAATTCAAAATTCACAATTACCCGATTGAATTCATTCACGACGAATAAACCTAATTTTTATAAGAGCAGATTATTAGTGTAAGATTGTGGTGTCCAGTTCAGTATTTTGTTATAACATATTTAAAATTCCAAACTCGTCTACTTCTTTTTCTAAATTCAATCGGTATGTGAAATGTGAAAGATATTTCACAGTGTAACAAAAATGTATGTATATGTCCCTTGAAGAAGTCCTCACTTATGTGAGATGTATATATCAACATAAAACCAAGTGATTTCCTGACAAATAAAAATAGACAAACACGAACCTAGATACGTTTTCCTCTTGCCATTTGGCATGTTATCATAAAGACCCTCAAATTCAGCGGGCACCTGCAGTGGCTCATGTGGAAGTTGGAAGGCCATGTAAAGAAACAATGGCTGAAATACCAATAAAATCATGTGAACAACAAAATCACTTGCGCAATAAATAGCATGAACTCACGGACACGATGATACACAGATATATTGACAACTAGCTTCATTTTCATTTGATTGCCATCAATATTTTTTTTCACACAAAATATAGAAAATCACATGCTCACATCAGAGATAAGACGATAGCAGCAATTGCAAAAACTGGTGCGAAATACGAAATTTTTAAGTACCTTTCATTATTGAACACTCCTAAAGCATTATTGATTCATCAACTTTAATTATGACTAGGTAGCATATACGCGTAAATACTCTGTTTACATTTAAAATATACACAGTTATGTATGTATTTTCCATAAAAAAAGAAAAAAAAATCATCAGCTTACATTGGAGGGGTTGTGTTTGTTGATGATATCAATGGCTTGCTCCACATAGATGTCGGTAGCATAGGTGTCACTCTTCGTGGAATCAGGACGGGTGTTGTTCCAAAAGTCAAGGCCGCATACTCCAAATACGACATCACAGCGCTGGTGCGTGTAGTAATCGCATCTGCCATGCTGGATCCCTGTTTAATGATAATAATAAATAAATAAATAAATAAATAAATAAATAACAAATGCATGCTTGAGGTCCGTTTCTGACATAAGTTTAAATTCTGATATACATTACTTTATGTACACTGGTAGTTTATCTAATTCCTTTGTGTCATTGGAATTTCACTGACTTATTTTATTTGTGCTGTACTGCACATATGCCTATATTAAATCATCCCATATACATTTTCTGATATGATAATATGGCGAACTGACAGCTTGTCACTACCGTGCCCCCTGTCATCATTATTCAGTACACCGGCGGAGAAGTACATGGCAGTACATGGAAGCCTTGTTTTATTCTGCAATATGCCATACAGTTCTCAGCTAACTACACAATATGTACATTCACTGGTGTGCCTAGATTATGCTACGGAAACAGGTGCTATTTGGGTTACAAATATATATTTTAGGCAAGTGACGGGGTCCAATATAAAACAGCTGACAAAGACTATCTACTGCAAAGTGTGTTCGTGAGTAGCTGACAGATATAGAACAGCTCCTTTGGCCAGCTTACTCTCTTGGTCATTCTCTCTCTCTCTCCCTCTCTCTCTCTCTCTCTCTCTCTCTTTTATTTATTATTATTATTTATTATTTTTTGTGCGGCGGGGCTGGGACTCATACCTGTATAGGGGGAGAACGAGGGAGATGATATATCACGTACCTCCAAAGGCAAAAGAGGAGGCATGCGCGCTCTTTTGCCTTTGGAGGTGATAAAATGTGCCCACCAAGTTTCGTCTGTGACGTTTGAAAGAATCTGGGGAATGTATACGCATATATGCACGTACCGTAAAATGAATCAAAGCCTCTGTTTGTTGGCAGATAAGCCCTCTCGTAACAGCCCACGTGCCATTTCCCCACAATATGACTTCTGTAGCCCCTCTCCTTCAGTTTCTGTGATATCAGAGTCTCACTTAGTGGCAGCGCCACCGGTATACCACCAACGACGACATTTGATAATCCAGTGGTTGCCTGATAGTAAAATAAGATAAAGGGTTCGCTTGATTCTTGGCATTTTAATTCCAGAAAGTGGGAAATCAGAAGAGGATCGGAAACGCCAACTGAGCAAGGGCACTTGATTATACCCTCGTCATAATAAAGACGAACGTACAGCCAGAGAACGGTCTTAAATTTAATCCTCAATTGATTAAAGACCCTGTTTCTTGTTCCCATCAGGTATCAGAAGAGAGATTGCAGTACACTGAAAAAACTGCGCCTGATTTGTCTCAATTTTCAACGAGTTTAGCTGTTAAATACGTTTAGCTCAGTAGGCCATCTGGTTCTGACGAGCATATCTTCAAATTTTGGAAGTGACCATGTATATCAGTATAACATATACTGTACTATTATCTAACGTTGGTTTACCAATGGAAACTGTTACCAAATTTTACAAAAAGAAAGTTCAATATTTGTAACAGAAGACCTCCGGTAGAGAGTGATATGCCCCCCACCCCACAACACCCCACACCCCAACCCACCCACTCAAATTTCTCAACCTCTATACAGTTTACACAAAATGCTATCATATTGTAATGTTTTAATATACAAAACCACAGGGAAGTTGTAAATTCATTGGTCTCCGTCATTGAAGTAATAAGTAAAAAGGATTAGATCTAAATAAATAATAGCGTAGCAAGCTGTTGCGTGCAAACTTAAATTCAGCCAACAAAAGTAAAACAGTTCTCGTGCTAGGAAAAAAAGGAAAATGCCAAAGACATTTACAGTTTAATTTGATTGGTTAATTTCACAATCAAACTGTAAATTTTTGCCAAGTGCATAACACATTCCAACAGAGTTTGAGTATGATCCAAGTATGTTGTGTTGCAAATAGTATTTTTAGAGATTTAAATTGAATAAACAGTGCTAACAGACATTGCCTTATAAGGGAATAATAGGAAGAAAAAAATGAACGTTAAAATAACTAGTGACAAATAACAATAACAGTTGAAAATGTCGGTGATCACACATAGGACAATGTAATAGAAGAGTTATATAATATCGTCGCGGAGAAATAGTAGCATAAACAGTCTTGTATTTGCATGGCAAGTCAGTCGGTGAATACATGTTTGAAAGTCCTATTTCTCTTAGTCGTCACTAGTACAAAGTGATAAAGCGGTTTTGCACACACACACACACACACACACACACACACACACACATTTACCGCATATCTCCCGGTCAGTAACTGGCCTCTACTTGGAGAACACAAACTCTGGACGTAGTAATTCTCCAGCTTCACCCCCTCCGCCGCCAGACGATCGAGAGTCGGCGTCTTCACCTGGTCGTTATGGTAACCGATGTCGTTCCAGCCCAAGTCGTCTGCCAAGAGAAACACAATGTTCGGTGGTTTCACTGGACCAATAAATGGGAACTTCCTGCTAAGTCCCAGATCGTATGCTATGCCTCCCATGGTGCCATGAACTTGTAACACCATTAAGATGACGGCGAGTATAATTCTATACACCATGTTCTATCTACCTGTAGAAAAACTATATATATATAGTTATATATATATATATTTGGGATGAGAGTGTGAATAACGAGAAAATGTTTGGGATAAATTCCTACAAATGAATATGTAAATCCACTTGGTT